AAAAACTCTTTAACTAATTGTTAGTTCTGGTAGTTTAAATGGAAGATTTTCAGATTTAGATGGTTCAGCAAACAAAATATATTTAGTTTTATCAGTATTCAATGAAAGTTTATTAGCTATAAACCACTCATTAAGATATATTAGATCCGTATTAACATAATGAAAAATGTTTTTTAAATTTGAATCTGAATAGAAAACATTAGTGCCATTGGCAAAAAAAAATATAATTAACTACTTTTGAGGAAAAATAAATATCGTTTATATAGATTAAAAACAGCAAAGGTCCAAGAATCGATCCTTGTGGAACACCGCAACTTATTGATTTAAATTGTGTGCATGTTAAATCAAATGGTACTCCTTGTTTACGATTTTCTAAATAACATTGCAGCCACTTTAAGTTAGAGTGAACTACTCCATAATTACGTAGTATATATATAAGAATCTTGTGGTTGACAGTATCAAATGCTTTAGACAGATCTAAAAAAGTTCCAAGTGTGTTACTATTGTTTTAAAGCCATTCAAAACTTGATTCGCAAGATCAATTATTGCATGTTCTGTGGAATGTTTTTTTGTGAAAACCAAACTGTTTATAATAAAGAATTTTATTTTTTTCAAGATAACTGTACTGTCTGTTATGCATAATACGCTCTAGTATTTTAGAAAAACAGGAAAGTATGGAAATTAGATTTTATCGAGTCATCGCCGCCTTTGTATGTTGAAATTATTTTTGATAATTTTAATTTGTCAAGAAAAATGCCGTCTTTTAGAGAAAGATTAAAAATTATAAAAAGAGGTTTCTCTATAATATATGAGACTGATTTTATTTGTTTTTAACATACTAACCTCTAGCCGAAGTTCATCAACTGAAAGCTCCGATTCATCCATGAAGGAATCTAATTTTTTCGAGAAAGATTTAAAAGATTTTTTACCCTCAGGAACTTTACCAGCTAATTTTTTCCCTATATTTATAAAAAGTCATCAAATATTTCTCTAATTTCATTTTTTTCAAAAGCATCACCTTTATTATCATCTATTTGCAATCTGTTTGGCAAATTGTCAATTTTTACAGAACCCACTCCTGTTATTTCTTTAATTATATTCCATGTTTTTTTTTGCATTTCTTAATGTTTTATTTATCAATGAGGAGTAGTAATTTTTTTGGATTGTTTTTTTAACTTTTTAAAAGAATTTTTATATTTTTTGCAGTCTTTTTTTTTTTTAATTTTGGTACAGTTTTTATTTCTTTTTTGACGACATAATTAATCCTTTCGTCATCCACGGACATACCAAATTTTTATAATTAATAATTCTTTTTAAACTTGGAAAGACCTTTTCGTATTGCTTAGAGAACATGCGAATAAAAAAATCGTATTCATTATTTACATCATTGCAATCAGTCAATAGTTCTTAGTTTACTTCTTGTAGGAGATCGCGAAACTTGGCGAACTCCTGCAAGAAGTAAACTAAGTAAGGAAAATAAATAATAAATCCCTCATTATTTATTTTCCTTACATAAACAGTTTTTGCTTTTTTTTGTTTTTCGGGGGAGTCAAAACTTGTAATCAGAAAAACTGGAAAATAGTCTGTGATATTTGTTTTAATATTACTACTTTGCATTTTAGCCTTTGTATAATTATTAGTAATAATATTATCAATAATAGATGCAGTTGTTTTTGTCAAGCGTGTTGGCTTATTAATCATGGGGAAAATGCTGTATTACAAAAGTGTGTTTATAAAACGTTTTTACGAGCTTTTTTTACGAGCTTTCGAAACAAGTAGTTTAAGTGGTTTTCAAATTGATTGTAATTACCATTTGGCGGTCTATATAATGCTGTTATAAATGTATTTTTATTTTTTTTATTAATTATTTCAGCAATAAATGACTCACAATCAATGTCATTTATCTACATGCTTAAAAGTCAATGAGTTTTGGACACAAATAGATACGCCCCCGCCAATACCGTTTTCTCTCGGTTGATGAATGGGTTTATATCCTAATAATTAAAAGTTAGAATTGATTGTATCTCGATGACACAAAGTTTCTATCAGACAATACTAAACTTATTTATATTATTTAACATTAACTTTTAATTATTGTTAAAATTGCAGTAACCCCTTTCTACTGAAATTTCGTCAATAAAATTAATGTTTTTATTATCGTCATTAATTAGGTTTAGTGTTTTTTTTTTTCTGTTAAGTCAAAAACATTATTATTGTTGGCTTCCGCCGTTTTAACAATAATAACTAGAAATATTATTTAAAACAAAAAAATACCAAAGTAAAATAAACTTTAAGCACTCTTATGTGGTTTTTTAAAATCTTTAACTTCTAATTTATCATAAATAACGACAGAATATTTACCGTTATTCCTGTGAGTTCGCATTTCTTCAAAGAGATTTTCCCGTATGGTTAGGGTATTAAAAGAGTAGTCCTCATTTATAAATATTCCTTTTAACTTTTTCGAGTTCTTTAATGTGTTAATTTTATCTTTATAGTTCAGTAGTTTTATTACGATCAATCGATGTTTACTTTGTCCAGTTTTTCCGGTCCTATGTGCTTTTTCAATAACTACGCCACTTACATTTAGTTTGTTTTCAAAAATACTTAAAACCTTTTCTTTAGATTCATTCCAACTTTCAGATTCACTTTTAGGTATTCCTTCCAGTCTCAAATTGTTTCTTTTCAATCGATCTTCCAGTTGACGCAGCTTATTTTTTTCTTCTGCATTAAATTTTGTAAAAAAATTTACTTCATTTCTATTGATTTTTTCTTCTTGGATATCTTGTGAAAAAGTAACACTTTTTTCGATATCTTTTTGAGTGTGTTCAATTTTTGAGACTCTATCATTTGTTTTTACCATTTCAAATTTTTTCAAATTGTTTTCATTTTGTAAAGTTTTGCACGTTTCTTTAAATTCTGTTAATTCTTTCAACAGTCCATCAATTCTTTTGTTTTCAACAGTCCATCAATACTTTCGTTTGTAGTTTTTAAATTACGACTTATAAGTTTGAGAATATCTATTTGCTGCTTTTTAAACATCTCAGAAAGTATTTTACGAACTAGTTTCACAGATATTTCTACAGATTCTGTATTTGATTGAATTTCTTATTTATTAGTATTTTTAATTTTTTATTAACAAGTTAAATACCAATTTGTTTTGATTTAAAAAGATATTTATGTAAATATTTTTTTTTAATATTCCAAACAATAATAATATTCCAAACAATAAGAAAAAACTATTACTTTTTTTCTTTCTAAAAGTTCAAACAACTAAGTTTATAAGCTGTAATCTATGGGAGATGTTTGTTTACTATCGATACTCTGGTTGAACCATGGGTTTTTCTTGAATTTGGTTAGATAAAAGTTATGGCTTTGTATCTGCAGGAGAAGTTTAAAATTTTCAAGGGATCAAACTGTGTATAAAAAGATTTTTTTCAATGCGTAAATTTTTAATCAATAAATAACAGTCTTAGTAGTATCAAGATATCATGTTTTGAGAAATGGTCTTTTTTGTTCTTTTTTCCGCCATTATTATTATTATATATCCCAAGAAGATCTAACAGTCTTGTCATAGAGCACTGCAATAGCATTTATATAGGAAATTTACACCTCCTTTCTAACCAATGGCGCAAATATGTCCAGTGCTCGCTACCAACCCAGGATTTCTTGCTTCTAAAGCAAGCGCTATAATCTCTGCGCCACGGTTGATAAGTATTAGCTGAAAAAACCCATAATAATGGGTTTTCAATGAGTTTTCAAATATTTCTTTTTAAATATAAATGATTAACAATTTATCAAAACAAATTTTCATCAAAGTAAAACATTTTTTAAAAATATTTTATAGTTAAATTTTTTCCCTAGTTTAACACTTGGTGTAAGTAAAGTGATTTTAAAATAAATTTTATTTAAAAAAGTAAAATCGTTAACGACAACTTTTCGTGACCTCCCCCTTCTTCCTCCTACAATACCTCCTACAATGCAATATAATGTAAGCCATCAGTGGGTTTTAATGTTCAGCTGCTCTACTGTAAAAAATATATCTTTTTAAAGATAAATAGATTAGTTGATAACATTAAGATGTTAATAAAAAGGCAACAAAAAATTAAAATTTGGAATTGTTATCAGGTGAAACCTTTAGTCCGCCTTTCGAAAGTTTTAATAACAATACAGTTAACAGTTTTAAAATTAAATTAAAACAAAATGATAAAAAAATTTTAAAATGGCAAATTGAATCACGGATACCGAAAAACGAAAAAAAAAATTGGGTTATTTCAAGCATTAAAAATTTTTTAAAGACATGTCCAACAACCTAATTCATATTATTACTAATTCATATTAGTAGATTAATTATAATTCTTTATCCGAAACTGAACCCTTATTAAAAAAAACTTTTTGGGCAAATTAAGAAAATTTTAAAATTATTGATAACAAATTAGTGTTGAATCCAAAAAAATTCCTCTAATGTTAGAAATTTAAATAAAAAACAAAAATACCGTGATGCTTAATTGGGAATGAAAGAATTAAATGGAATCTTAATAAAGAAGCAAAATGTTAAATGATTGTAATTGAATCATTATTTGAAGGTTCAGACGTAAACTTTTTTTGATTTAAAAAAAGTAATACTAAATATATATATATATATATTATTATTTAAAAATTGATTTACAAAGTAAAAACAAACTATAATATTTGGTATTGTGGTTTATCCTCCTCCGGCTAGTTGCCATATAGAGGCCACATTATCAAGGTACCGCAAAGACAGGTTCGGCTCCCCAAGGAGCGTCATAACCCGCTCTACGGACCAAGAGTAAAGTGAGTTTAGGAAGAACGAAGGTATGTTAGAGTGAAAGACAGAAGTAGTCGTGTTAGAAAGACAGCATAAAGAAAGCAGACAGAATTGCACTCGATGTTAGGAGGTGCAATAAGTTGACATAGGGATTAAAAACATAGGGACTAAAAAGTTTCAGTATGTGTTTTTTTCCGTATAAACAACTATAATATTTGTATATTATATGTTTAGAGGAAAAAACCTTCGTCTTTATAACTTCAATTTATACCAAAAATTAAATTACAGGAAGTTGTCCTGTAATTGCCTTAACTGCTGTAAATGTCTTAACTACTGTAATTTTTCACACATATGCGTAATTTATGGAAGTGATTTTCATCGACATTGGGTTAATTAGTAAATTAGCAAATAATGGAATTTAAGTAAGTATTTGTAAATAATGCAGTTTTGTCAACATAACATACTTTGATTAAAAAAATTTTTTTTATTAGTTTGTTATGTTAACAAAAAATTATCTATCTATATAAACAGATTTAATTTATGTATTACTACAAACATATTCAATTTATGTATTTCATCATAACAGTACTGTTACTGTTTGGCGTGTACACGCCAAACACGCCAGTTAAGTGGTGTACTGCAGTACACCACTTAACTGGCGTGGACAACAATCTTACTCCCAACAAAGCCAAGTCACATTATAGCAAAGTACACCACTTGGCTAGCAAAATCAACATTCTTGCTGTAAACTAAGCCAAGTCACAACAACTTGAAAATATATTTACAAACACATAAATGATATTTATACACTTACAAAATATAAACCCATATAACCTTAACACATAAACATAAATAACACATAAATATAAATAAATAATATAATAAAAATATATAAATCAATAAAAATATATAATTTAGAAACTTTACAAATACAACCGTATTTTTGTTTAATGACATACCTCGTATAATAAATGTTTAACAACTTAGAAAAACAAACGATCTGTTTTTTTATATAAAAGCAAACAGATTTTTTTTAACACTAACTTTATCAAGAGTTTGACTTTAAAAAAAAAACATCGTCTTTTAGAGTTACCATCGTCTTTTAATTTAAAAATTAAAATATGTCCATCTTATTACTAAATAGGTTGATGAAGCAAAGTTTTCAATCTTATTACTGATTAAGCACACTGATCTCTATAATAACGATTTTGGCGTCAAAAAATTCAAAATTTTGTTCAGAGTTGCGCTATCCAGTTATTATAGAGATCAGTGATTAAGCATCTTATTACTGATTATTAACAAATTAATAACCTAATCGCGTGGTCAAAAATAGAAATAAACAAAAAGAGAAATATCTTAAATGCCAAGCACGCACGAATGGAGAGCAGCAGCGGATTTTATTTTGTTTTATTTTATATTTTTTTGTGTTTTTTGGTTATATATTTTTATTATACATGTTATTAAAACGTAAATAAATAAAAACACTTGTGTACAAACTATATTATATATGCAAAAAAATATCTGTAAAACTTGATTGTATTTGTAACCGGAGATAGTATAAAATTATAAAATTGTATATAATATATTGTTTTATAAAAAAAAAAAAAAAAAAAAAAAAAAAAAGAAATGTTTTTAAATTATGTATGCTATTTATAGATATGACCTCCAAAACTGTTTTTACCATGTGATAACATGTTAAAAACAGTTTAGTAGGCTGTTGCTATAAATATTATCAAGATCCTACTGTTTATCTATTTTGTACTCTTTCAACTGCATTACATTCTCCTTTTATATAAAAAAACCACACTGAAACTGTAAATTCAAGTCTTGAATTAACAGTTTCAGTGTGGTTTTTTTATATATTAATCAAGAAGTGAGCAAATAAATGTTAAGTAAAAAGATCTCATTAGGTGACATTCGAATTTTGTAAACAATTTTTTTATTTGTTTCATCATTTAATTTTTTTAACTAATTGCCATAGTTATTGGATTTTTCCATCTGAGATTGTTTAAAAATGTAAATCCAAGGTCTCATTTAAACTCAGAATCAATTAGTTGTTTACCATTAATAAAAAGTAGATATTTTTTATTAGTAAACCTAAAATATAACACAATGCACATGTTTATGTTAAATTTTAGCAAGCAGCCTTCTTTCTTCAATCCATTCAAATGCTTTTTTTAAGTCATCCTGAATTGACGTTTATTGTTCATATTGTTCAGGTTTGTCTCATTTCTTTGTTTCAACATCCAAATCTGAACTTATTTTTGATAAAGTTTCAGCTAAGTTATTCAGGTAAACAACAAAAAGGAACATTCTAATAAATAAACCCTGAAGCAAACCACTAAAAACATCAACCTAATCAGAGACATTATCACCTAACTTCTATAACTGAGAAAAGATGTGATCCATTTTAGTACTAATTTATATGATAAGCTTTTAATTCTAACAACAATCTGTTATGAGCAACTGTGTCAAGCACCTATACAAAATCTATAAGTAGAACATCATCTGGAGTGTTATTTTCAATATATAATGTTATAAAATTTATTGTTGTTTGTTGCTATTATAAAAAGAATTCTTCAGAATTAATTACTTCTAGATTTTATTATTACTTTAAATCATTCTTAGAAAACATTAAAAAAACAAACAACAGAAATAATGAATTCAAAAGAATTATTTTCATTATTGAGTCAGCATATACCACAAATGTGTGAAAATTTAATGTAGTAAAGATATTTACGACTTCCTGTTATTTAATTTTCGGTATAAATATAAGTTTTATTAATTTAATCATATATTTCTGATGAGTCTTTATTGATAAAACTCAGTGTTAAATGAAAAATTTTTGTTGAGTGATTTTCTACAAATTTATAAATTATATTATATTATAAAAAGTATATATTATATTATAAAAAATAGCAATATGAGACTTGGGGACCACATATATATATATCAGTAAAACCAGTGATGGATCCAGGGGGTATGCATTCTACCCCTTACCAGAATCTGAAAGTCCTAATATCTCTAAGAAATGGAGGATCATTTTTTTTTAGGAGATGCTAATGTGATACAAAATACAAAAATACTTCAATATCTACCCCCTCCCCCACTAAAAACTCCTAGATCCTTTACTGAGATATATCTCCGTATATATATATATATATATATATATATATATATATATATATATATATATATATATATATATATATATATATATATATATATATATATATATATATTATATATATATATATATATATATATATATATATATATATATATATATATATATATATATATATATATATATATATATATATATATATATATATGTATATATAGATATATATATATATAAATATATATATATATATATATATATATATATATATATATATATATATATATATATATATATATATATATATATATATATGTGTGTGTGTGAAAATGTTGGTATGTCAACTAATATATCAAACGCAGCCCAAAATGAAGCTTATGCGATAACATTTAAAATAGCTTTAGTAAGTTTTTTTGGTTATTATTTTTTTTTTTTTAAATATGGTTTTATAAAACAATTAAAAGCAATATCCTTTATTGTTATATATTGTTATATAAGTTTATGATATTAATATATTCAGATTTCTATATGAAGTTATTTATATGCATTAAATTGTTTATATTAAATACTAAAAAAAATTAGATTGGTTGTGCAACAGGGTTGATTTATTATACTTTAATTAATACACAGCGAGGTACACTGTTTGAAGTATAATTATTTCAAAATAATAAGCATAAACATTATATGTTGACATTCAATTTTTATAACTTTATAACTTTTCTATTTTTAAAAAAATGCATAACTTTTTGTATAATTATTTTCTGGGTTGTTCATTCCCAAAAATGGTGGTTAAAATTTTTTGAATCAATTTATATAAGGGCAAGTGCAGCTGCATCTTGCCCTTAAATGAATCCACAGGATTAGACTGGGTCAAAAAAAAGACTGGGTAAAAAAAATCTTTACAGAAGGAGAGGTACAAAAGTTTAATTCAGCTGAGTTTTTATCAGATGCTGATAAAACTTCAACATTTAGAACTAATGATTTTTGTTTAAATTAAACTTAAGTTTGCACATAAGTTATTCAGTCAACATTCCCTATCTTGTGTTTTTGACATTTTGAAGATGGCTTGTTTTCATCTTTGCAAGCTTATTTGAATATTCAATTTATAAAAAAAATCTTATGAATTGATAATGCAGCTGTTATAATGTCTGCTTCAATTGAAAATCTATTTTCAGAAGAAATTTTAGTTACTGTATTTTGATAAAAATGATTGTTAGATAAGTATTTTAAACAATTGTTGTTGCTGAAAGCCAACAAATATATAGCTTACATTTAGTTGTTGTTTTAAATTTTAATTAATTTAAAATACTTTTAATAGTTAGAAAAAGTATTTTGTATTTCAAATACTTTGATTTTAAGTATTTCACATTATGTATTTAAATTACTTTTGCTTGTAATTTAAGTTTTTACAAAACTGATATAAGAAAAATATGTTAAAATAAAAAAAAAATATTTTACTGTATATTTTAAAATATTGTAAAAATTAGTTACATTGTAAAAAATGATTTTAATTTAATAGATATATTTATATTGAAAAGTTTAAAATAGTTTAATTTGTCCTGTTACATAAGTAATTTGAGGTTATCTTTATGCAGGCTACTTCTATTATTCGCACAAAACCTTCCCATTTAACTTTAATGCAGTACATCAACAAATTGGTGAAAAAGATTAAATCTTCTGAGGAGACATGGAGAACAAAGGTGAATTGTATATTTTTATTATGTTTTATAAATTTATAATAAATCAACCAAATGCTATCCTTATAGTAGTACTTTGTATGCTTTTTACTAAGTATACAAGATCTATATAATCAAGTACTGTACTTATTTTTATTTGAGAGAGAATTTTAAATTATTGGTGTTTGAGGAAAAAAATTAAATAAATAGAAGGTTTTTAAAAGATTTTGTAGGTTAGTAAAAGATTGTGATTTTGCTAAATGATAAGTCATGCAAGATTTTTAGGCTGATGGAATAAGAGATAGTTTGTGTAATGAGCTAATAAAAAGATTGACCTCTTGATAAGGCTTTATTTAACAATAATTGTACTAATCTAAAGATACAAGAAAATAGACACATATATAAAACAAATAGTTCAATAACAAAAAATAGAAAACACAACAATCTTCCCATCTATGTAGGAAAAAACCCATAAACTAGTTTTGTCATTTTAAAATATAGTCATCATATTTTACAGGAGCTTTACAAGCTCTGGCAGAACGTCGTAATACATCAGCAAATGGCTCAGTTACTGGCATCTACCCTAGCTCTGATTACCGATGCAATTTCAGGTGAGGGGTCTTTATTTACATCAAGTAATTTCACAGTTACATTCTCACTAGACTCATTGATACTATTCTCATTGATATCACTAAACTTTTCTTTTGGATACGGTGCAAGATCTTGAAGTGAAACAGTTGACTCTCAACCATCAAGGTAACAAATATTAGCATATGTTGGATTTACATCCACTAATTCAACCTTATCCACGAGATTATCGTTTTTGTTTATACGCACAAAATGTCTTAGAAAAATTGAGCCAGGAGTTAACCATGAGGGTAACGAAATTCTGGATGACAAGCGCCTAGGAAAACTGAATAACCTCTCATGGGGTGTACAATTAGTTGCAGTTAAAAGTAGCGAACGGAGTGAGTGGAGAGTGTCTGATAGAACAATTTCCCAATTTCTAACATCTAGGTTGTGGGTTTTTAGTGCAAAACAAATAATTTTCCAGATCAAGCCATTATATCTCTCAACTTGTCCATTACTGATAGGATGATATGGGGTAGAATTACTTGTTGCAATTCCTTTCTGAGTAAGGTAAGCTTTTAATTAATTAGATATGAAAGATGAGGCTCTGTCGGAATGAATGTACGTTGGAAAACTACAAAAAGAGAATCTTTGATCTAAACACTTCACAACAGTTGTTGAACTAATATCAGGACATGGGAAAGCAAATGGATACCGAGAATATTCATCAATGACTGTAAACAGATATTTATTTCTAGAATTAGATGGCAATGGTCCTTTAAAATCTAAACTTAGGCAATCCATTGGACGTATTGACTTGATTAACTCACAGACATTTGAGCATTGATAAAACTTTGGTTTTAATTCTGAACAAATCTGGCAGTTAGAACAAACTCTCTTGACCTCTTCTGTAGAAAAAGGTAAATTTTTAGATTTAACAAAGTGAAGCATACGAGTAACCCCTGGGTGACATAGACAGCTATATATACCACTAAGGTTTGTTTGAGATTGGGTTGTAGCACAAAAAGCACCTGTGAGTGCATCAGAGACGATATTGTCCCTTCCAGGACGATACGATATAGTATAACTAAACTCTGCTAACTCCATCCTCCAGCACTGAATCTTACTATTTTTAATCTTTGTTTTCTTTCGGTTATCATAAAAGCTACAGAACGCTGATCAGTAATTAATTTAAATTGATTCCGTAACAGTAAATTTTGCCATTTTCGAACGGCTTCAATAATAGCCACAGCTTCTTTTCTACTGATGGGTAATTGATTTCACTTTTGCCTAATGTTCGAGACATAAAGGCAACTGGACGACCATTTTGATTCAAGGTAGCTGATACGGCTACATCTGATGCATCACATTCAACAACAAAAGGTAAGCTCTCATCAATAGAACTCAAAGTGGCAGCATGAAGTTCTCTTTTAAGAAATTGAAATGCTTCAAGTGCCTCACTATTGATAGGAAAGGATTTAACATTAATTAAAGGCCGAACTATATTAGCAAACGAAGGTATACACTTTGAATAGTAAGAAAATATACCCAAAGTTCGCCGAAGTGATAAAATGTTAGAAGGAGGAGGTAGTAAGTCTAAAGGACGTAATGGCTCAGAATCTGGTTTTATGTTGTTATGACTAACGCAATAACCAAGAATGTTTATAGAAGAAGCCGACTTTGATTCATTTAAAGTTAGACCCCAACGTTGTGAAGCGTCTTGAAACCACAGACAATTTTTATCATGATGTGCCTGATCATAACCACCAATGGTTAAATTGTCAAGATATGGAAAAGTGTCATGTAACTTTTCTTCTTCAACAAACTTGTCCATAGACCTTTGGAACATAGACACACCATTAGTAACTCCAAATGGAATCCTGCAAAATTGAAATAGTTTCACATTTGCCTCAAATGCTGTATACTTTTACGACCACTACCTGGGCTCTCCATGGTGAGAAACATGACTCAGTTATACCATCCGATAATAACTGTAATATTTCACTATCAATAAAGTTTCAATCATCATTATTATATCTTCTTGATTTTATAGCTATTGGCTGAGTTTTGTCTGAAATGCTTGTAAACTAGGATGGTATTTTTATTTTTGCCATATGCAGTGCACATAGGTTACTTTCCTTTGTGACAATTAAGTCTTCTTTTTCTCCACCGAGTGGGAATATTGAATTTTTGTGTAGTTTTTGGAAGTTGTAACCAAGTATGATATCACTACAAAGATTTTCTAAGACACCAAATTGAACATTATTGTAAAATTTACTTTAAGATTAACTGAACAACAGCCTACTAATCCAGACTCCATTGTTGTGAGGGCCATCAAGATTTTCTTTTTACTGAATAACGTTTTAATTTTTAAAGTCTCAATAATTTTCTTGCTTATAAAATTATCTGAGCTACAGGAATCGATTAGTTCACTTAATGTTTCATCATTAATTCTGACAATAACAGCTGCATGAGAGAGGCTCAACGAACAACCACTTGAAATAGTACACAAACTTGGTTTATGTATTGCAGCTGAAACACTGTGGGTTATATTCATCGGCCTGCCAAGAGAAACTTTGGAAAAATTACCTTTTTTTCCACATTTAAAACAGGTTACATTTTGAGGTAGACAATTTTTCCTAGCAGAGGTTTGATAACGTTGGTTGTGAGATTGATTACCACAATAAATGCATTTTGTTTGAGGATTAATAGTCATAGCATTGAGTGATGCTGAGGGTTCTGGTAATTTTATAGCGGCAACAATATTTAAATTGGAGGAAAAGGAGGATGTTTTCTGCATATAAGAATCTGAGTTTCTTTGTGCAATGTCAAGAGAATGAGCTTGGTTAAATGCTGATGTTAAATAAATTGTAATGAACTAATAAAAAGATTGACCTTTTGATTAAGGCTTTATTTAACAATAATTGTACTAATCTAAAGATACAAGAAAATAGACACATATATAAAACAAATAGTTCAATACCAAAAAATAGAAAACACAACAGTTTGAGAACAACTGTTACACTGTAGTATCCTTAAGTGAGGTAATAAGATCAGACTTGTACATGTTAGTAAGGCTCCCTCTGGGTATTTCTGTAGTTTCTCCACTATTAGAAAAAAAAAGAAAGTATAAAAGAAGTATTCAAGTTAGTAACAATGTTATATTTTGCTTCAAGCCTTAGTGTTGCTTTAAAAATTAACATGAAAGCAATAATAAAAAAGTTTGCAGTACTAATGTGAAATTTTTTTTTTTGTGTAATATAAAGTATTTACTTTTATAAGGTTTTGTGATTTTAGCGCGCCGAAAGTGCTAAAAACTTCAAGCGTATCATGTGAGCAAAACTTTGGACTAATGGAAATTATTTGTTCATTTAAAAGAGATTTTAGGGGTTTTCTGGAAATAAATGTGATAAGTATTTAAGGAAGAGAAAAATTTTGTACGTAGTTTTTTTAGTTTTTAGAATTTGATAATAAAGAGTTTGTTCATGAGATAGAAGTATTTTTTTGCATGGAAAAACTACATGCTAACTGGGCATGAAACCATCATTAAAAATTTTAGATGTCTTTGAAAAATATGATGGCACGTAGGATGCAGCGATTTTGTTACAGAGAACCAAAGATTGTGCTAAAATGCAAGACGCCCAGCTGATAATGCTTTATTCTGTTTTGCTACGAAATGCAGCGTATGCGGTTTATGATAGTTTGGGAGAAAAAGAAAAGAAAGATGCAGAAAAATTTAAAAACGTCTTGTTACAAGCTTTTTCTTTGGATCCATACACGGCACACGAGTTGTTTACAAAGCGAAGAATGTAAAATGGGGGACAAGCAGATCTAAAACAATTGAAGTACTTGACAAAGTTGTCAGATGAAGCAGGCTTGGACAGGAATGGCGTGCGATCGAGTGCTATTGCTGACCACACAAATGATTTTATTTTTTGACAACTTGGCCACGATTGTTTATATGTTTTGATGATTTAAAATTTTCAGAAATGCTCTAAATGTAGAATTGCTAAGCTAAACTTAAACTAGGAAAAAAATTAAAAAAAAAAAACTAACGAAAAAAAAGTTCCTAACGAAAAAAGAAACGAAAAACAAATTCATAACGAAAAAAAAATTATATAAGCACTAAAATGAAAATAAAATCTTAAACTCGAAACGAAACTTTTTGTTACGTTTTTAATTATGTATGAAATGAACGTTATTAAAGCTTATTTTTTTAAACGTTGTTAAAGTTAAGCAAAACGTTTTTAAATTAATAACAAATTACTACGATTGACTGTTTTTTTTTTTTTTTTTATTTGCATTCACTCCCAACAAGGCTGCAAGCAACCACTATTAAGTTGGGAGTTACTAGGAAAAAAAAAGAACAGAGTTATAGAGCAAGGAAACGGTTGACAGAAGACTTGAAAAGTTGAAGGTTGTATGAGTCAGGAAAACATGAAGATGGGAGAGAG